TTTTTTTTTTTTTTTTTTTTTTTTTTGCAATTCTATGTAATTTAGATGGCATGTTTAGAAACATTCAAGCTTAACTTATCAATCTTGCTTATAGAATGACTCGAATCTCAAAAAAATATTATTGCCTTGAAATATTCGATCGACAAGGTAATCTCATCTTACTTTTTCTTGGAGTAATTCCGTATTGTTTTGGAATGCTCGGATATATTTAAATCCAAAGGTCTTGTTATTCAATAAGGTTGCTATATCAAATTTTCATGGGTTATGACCATTTGGAATGAAATGAACTTGATTTGGGGGTTTTAACATTTGTGAATTAGGAGTTTGCACATCCAAAACGGTTATGAGAGTTCTTAGATTCAATTAGTTACCATTTGGGTACAAACAATTTAAAATAGGTTAACACTTTTCAACGGTCCGAAGCATTAAAAATCGATAGGAATCATGATATGATTTCCTAAAACTCATCAAATTCTTATCATTTAATTTCCAACTCAAAACTAAAATGTAAAATATGATTTAAACTCTTCAACGGTCCGAAGTATTTTAGGAAAGGGGCGTGAGAGGTTAAGAAAGGGTGTGAGGGCGAATGTCCTAATTAATTGAGTTATATTCGAGTGTTACTGGTTTAAAGCTAAAGCGGAAGCAACAATGGACATTACAATAGCTTAAATTCTCTATTACATAGCTGGAGACTTGTTTTGCCATACCGCTGGATGCGTCTCTCTTTTGTATGATTTCATTCTACTAATGAAATCTGTTTTTAAACTATAAAAAGACACAAACTCCAAAGCATTAAAAATGGAAAGTACCATGAAATATGAGTTCACTCGCCCACCACTTGGGAGGACACAGATACAGAATCCACAATGTTCCCTACAACCTCTTTGGACTCCTTCAGAACCTTGATGCTCTTCTTCAGCTTCTCCCTTTTTACAGACAGCGATGGCGACTCCTCCAACAGCCTCTCAATCCCTCCCCCGCCCTCCCTCATCAGCTCCCCAATTGTCTCCTTCTCAATCTCCTTGTTCACTAGATTCTGCACACTGTACTGCAAGTACAGCGCCGTGCTGTCCACCATTCTCCTCAAAACAATCTTCCAGTATGCCGTCATCCTCATCTTCAGATCGAAAGCCTGCTCAAGACAATCTGGATGCTGCCACAGGTTCCCCACTTCGACGATTCCGAACCCGTTAAGGACCACAGAAGCTGGATGTGAATCGCTTCTCAGCACCTGGTTCAAGAATGTCCCTTGATTGGCCATGAGCTTGTTCCATTCGGTTGTGTATTCAGCATCACATGTATAGTCTGTGAGCTTCTCCATTTCTACAATCTCTGTTATCCAACTCACAGTTCGGTCTTTCATCGCCTCGACAACGTTTTTACCTGCTCGTCTGATGGGCTGTTGGAGCTGTGGATAATGTTCAGAATGGCGCATCAACACAGCAAGAACAATGACCTGAATGTAATCCCAAGCTTTCATGACAAATTCAACTGGTAAATTTGATATTAAGTTCACTTTCCTTTGAAGGATTGAGAGAAAGGCTGTGCGGGGGAGGAAGTTTGGAAGTCCAATGCCTCTGGATTCCTCCAACACTTTGATCTCTTCCATTAGGAAGTTGGCTGTGTTGTCCGTTCCAATACACTTGTGAAGCTCGCCGGAGAATTGATTGATCATTTCGACCATTCTGGCTGTCGAATGCATCTTTTCGTCGTCGGGAAACTCATCATATTCTCCCCTGAGGAGAACTTTTCGGAGGGACTCTTTGGATTGTCCTATGATCTGCATGAACGTTGTCATTGCCTCAGCAACTGTTGATAGTTTCTTTGGCATCTTATTGAGCTCCGCAATATTTGTAGTTAACCTTTCGTTGATTTGCTTGACAACTTCAGGCATGCATCTTGATATACTACCTGCTTGAATTTGCACCAACTTCTGAGCCAATACTGGAATGCCTACAACAGATTTGTCAATCTTGGAGAGAAGAGGATGAGTTGCAAACAGTTTAGCTTCTGCAACTCGAGCTTCCTCGTACGACTCATCACCGATTCGGTTCCTGACACAAACATAACCAAGCCCGATGTTGACATCGTCCCCAGTGACCTTATCATGTAGGCCCTCTGGTGCCTTGTCCGACTTAGTCACTACTGCCAACGTTCTCATCCCGATCTTGTCGACACTCTGAGACATTCGTATCGATTCACAAGTCGGAAAATCAACGGTTGCAGACAAGACATTCAAGATGATGCTCTCTTCTGGCTTAATATGCTCCATGATTATATCTTTGATTTGGTCATAAATATCTTCAGGCTGATCTTTAACAGGCACTCTTGTAATCCCAGGGAGATCAACCATTGTAAGATCAGGAACACCATTTTTCTTCACAATCAAAGTCAGTGGCGTTTTTGATATCCCTTTGCCACTGCCAGCAATCTCCTCTGTGGCTGTACTGATGTCTTCAGCAATGAAGGATTCATCTGTGTGGACCGTTTTTCCGCTGTACTCCAAGAAGAGCTCGGGTTCCGGATTGGGGTGATTTTGGAGCCTCATTATTAGAGGAACCCTGGTGCAGATGCCCTGACCTCGAGGTAGGCTGATCCCGGCCAACGACTCGAGGACACTAGACTTTCCTGATGATTGATCACCAACAACAACTATGGTAGGCAGTTGGATGCCTTCTCTCATGATCATGAGATGACGAAGCTTATCCACGGCATCAAGGAGAGGACGAATGCGATCATTGTAGGATACAATCAGGGGCGGGACCGAAACCGAATGGCTGTGGCTGCTTGATTCTCCTTGATAAACAGATGAGCTATCGTTGCTGTACGGTGCCATTCTTAGTCTGCAGGCTCTGTGGGGGCAAGAAGCCATAGTTAAAGACTCGATAAAGAGAGAGATTACAAACAAGTATACAGTTCCTTAGTATATATATAGACAGAGAGAATTGTATCAAATAAGTCTGAAATTGAAAAAGGGTCTAACAAATTTCTAAATTTGAAGTTTTAGTTTGTCTTGGACGAGTTATATATGTATCATTCTTTAATTTTCTCCAGAAAACAAAAAATTCCAATAATAAAGACAGAGAGAAAGATTCTCGAAGGCATAGAAAAGGAGAAAAGAAAAGTTGTTATGCTTGCTCATTGTCTTTTCTGTCTCCAAATGGACATAAATCAAAAGCTTTGCGGCAACACAAGTTTTAATTTTGTCTAGAATGCAAGGGAGGAAAAGAATCCCATCACATACATTTATTTATTTAATTTTGCTTGCTAAGAGATGTAAGAGGAGGGCATATAAATATCTTCCATCACTTTTCTGTTTTCCTTCAATATATAAATATATTTAATCCATATTCTTTTAAAGCTAAATTAATAAATTTAACTTTCATTCAAAGTTCAAAACTAAGCTTAAGTTTGGTTAATGTATTATTAATGCTCTTACACAAAAATTAAATAAATATTCAATCCAAAAATATCTTCAAACTTATTTTAAAATATTCAATCCAAAGTGTGTATGATAGTAGAGAGAGAGAGATACTACTGAAATTTTTAGAGTTCAATATTGAAAATTAAAGAAAATTTTTTAATTTTTTAAATAAACTATTATTAACCATGGAAAAATGTTTTTATTAATTTAACATTTTTATTATAAGAAGAGTAAATTAATTTGATGTGCCAAAAAATGTTTTTTTAAACTAAGTTTTTAAACATGTATTTTTAATGTCATCTCACCATTTTGTTGATAAATTCTACGGTAGAAGTAAAAATTGAAAGGAAAAAAGGTGAAGAGGTAAAGGACAACCAACAAAATATCCTGAATATTAAGGCTTAAACTGTTAACATTCAGTCCTTAATTTTATCTACCAAATTTGCAGTTCGAAGAAAATAATAAACCACTACTAAATCATGGCCAAAGAAGAAAACTTGAGAGGAAAGAGAAAAGTATGCTGGTCAAGGTTGCCGATTTTAGAGGCGAAAATCTGCATATCATAGTTATTTTTAAGATCCAAGAAGCTCAGTTTGAGTAAAATGAGCAGATAACAACCATACAAACAAACCAGTGGAAGCCTTGATTACAGCAAAAGTTGTTATCAAATCCACAAATTCAACAAACCCACCAATTATCATCCACTTCACATCCCTATATAAACACTACACAAAGTGTAATCTAAACATCGCAAAATAAAGGGTCTTCTCCCTTTTATTTCTTTTCTTCTATTTCATTTCTGTTTTTACCTTTTAATTGTAAAAAACAAAAACAACAAACATCTTGGTTTATTCAACATTTGAGAGAAGCGTTCAAGATGGCTGGAGGTGGATTTGTTTCTCAAGGCGGTGGTAAACAACATGCCGGAGAAGTCAATAATTTTGTAATCATCACTTGTTTGGTTGCCGCTATGGGCGGTCTCATCTTTGGATATGATCTCGGAATCTCAGGTCCGCAATTCTTCCTTCTCATGTGTTATGTGTTCCTTGTTTCCAATGAATTTATGTGTATTTTCTTTGTTTATTTGTTTTCAGGTGGGGTGACTTCAATGGCACCTTTCCTCCAGAAGTTTTTCCCGGCAGTTTATGAACAAGAAGCTAAGGCAAAAGGAGGAAACCAATACTGCAAGTTTGACAGCCAGCTACTGACACTATTCACATCTTCGTTATACTTGGCAGCATTAGTTGCTTCCTTCTTTGCTTCAATGGTTACCAGAATATTTGGAAGGAAAATGTCTATGCTCGTTGGTGGCTTAGTGTTCTTGTTGGGTTCAGTCTTAAACGGGGCTGCTATCAACATGGCAATGCTAATCATCGGTCGACTGTTACTCGGTTTTGGTATTGGCTTTGCCAATCAGGTAAAGATTATCCTATAATCACACACAGCTTTGTAATCTTCTATACTAATATCAGTATCTGAAGTATATTTTTTTTGATAATGTAGTCTGTTCCAGTTTATCTATCGGAAATGGCACCAGCCAAGATTCGAGGAGCCCTGAACATTGGTTTCCAAATGGCCATTACCCTAGGCATTTTGGTTGCAAATCTTGTGAACTATGGAACCGCTCAAATTAAAAGCGGATGGGGATGGAGGCTTTCTTTAGCTCTTGCAGCAGTTCCTGCAATCATGATGACCGTTGGAGCATTCTTTCTACCCGACACTCCTAACTCAATCCTTGAGCGTGGCAACATGGAGAAGGCAAAGGCAATGTTGCAAAAGATTCGAGGTTTGGATAATGTGGATGAGGAATTTCAAGATCTTGTTGATGCATGTGAGGCTGCAAAGAAAGTGCGACACCCGTGGAAGAACATCTTACAACCAAGATATAGACCTCAACTTGTCATTTGCGTGGTCATCCCATTCTTCCAACAGCTCACAGGAATCAATGTGATCACATTTTACGCACCTGTTCTCTACAAAACTCTTGGTTTTGGTGACAGTGCTTCACTTATGTCCGCTGTTATATCTGGTGTTGTCAATGTCATTGCAACAATCGTGTCGATTGTATCAGTCGACAGGTTTGGTCGAAAGGCCTTGTTCCTCGAAGGAGGCATCCAGATGTTTGTGTCCCAGGTAATGAACTATATATTAAACTAACACTAATCCAAGAGCTGATAGGTATAACAAACCATCTAAAAAGCTTAGATGGAATCTTATATCATGCTCCTTTAAATCCTATTAACTACCTATCTCTAACACCAACTTTGAATATTGGTAGCTTGCTGTGGGAGGCATGATATGGAAAAGCTTCGGAGTGAATGGTGAAGGATCAATGTCAGGAGGGATAGAAGCAGATATCCTACTGGCTCTAATCTGCGTATATGTGGCAGGATTTGCATGGTCTTGGGGTCCATTGGGCTGGTTGGTACCGAGTGAAATCTGCCCGCTCGAGATCCGATCAGCAGGACAGGCAATAAACGTGTCGGTTAACATGTTCTGGACGTTCGTGATTGGTCAGCTGTTCCTCTCCATGCTTTGCCACTTGAAGTTTGGTCTATTCTTCTTCTTTGCAGGGTTTGTGGCTGTTATGACAATTTTCATTTACTGGTTCTTGCCTGAGACCAAGAATGTCCCAATTGAGGAAATGAACACAGTGTGGAAGGCACATTGGTTCTGGGGCAAGTTCATCCCGGATGATGCAGTGATTGGCCATCATGTAAGCATGGAGCCTTATGGCAAGGGTGTCTAAATTTCAAGCAACAACAACAGCTATGTGCTTTGTTCTGTGCTTGGAACAGAGATTTTTGGTAGTCAATTACATCGAGGAGAGGTGTTTTAATTTTGGTTCACAATTTTGATGAGCTCATTCCAAGGTGCTCAAATTGATTATGAGAGTGATTTGTTATAATAATCAGTTTAGTAAAAATAAATAAATCATTATTTTGTCACTTTCACTTGTTCAGCTTTCCTTCTTCCTGAATCTCATACGTAGTTCTATTAGAAACGCAAACAGACACGAACAGAGCCAACTAGCGATTCGGAGCAAAAACAGAAACAAGTAGCGATCATTGCAAAAAAAAAAAGTATCAAAATCTCGTCCAAACAGAACATTCAAGGAGGATCACAAACAAAACCCAAGTAAATGTAATGATGTGTACATAGTTCTATTAGGAACGTAAACAGAAACGAACAGCGCCAACTGGAGACTCCGAGCATAAACACAAACACGTAGCGATCATTGCAATAAAAAAAAAAAGGATCCAAATCTCCTCCAAACAGAACATTCAAGGAAGGTCACAAACAAAAAAACGGAAGCAAATGTAAATGCCAAAGCATAAAAGATGAAGAACAAAAAAGAAAATACACATGCATAATATATAGAATGGACTTACAAAAATTTGAAGACTCTGGGAGGTGAAGCGGAGATAGAATTGAAGCGATTGGTCTGGTGGTGTTCTTATAGAGTAGGGGGAAGAGGAAAGGGTGGGTCCGGGGTGGGGGTTTTGGGAGGAGGAAGAATAAGGGGGGACGTCATAGAAGTGACGTGAGAGTGGGCCTTCAATGTCTGCTTTTCAATCCTTTCTTTTTCCGTACACACTTTATTATTATTTTTTTTTTTTAATTTTATTAATTCTTACAGGAGACGACGAGTCGGATTTGAATTCCCCGCTCATAGTATTATATGGAGACGTTCCGTATATGAGCCTTTTCAAACGAGACTTATTGCTCATATACTAGTAAAAATGCAGTAGCCACGGATACGATTCTCAATGCACTCATTTCGGAACACCAGTACGTTTTCACTTGCGTTCTAGATCGGCAAAAAAAAAAAAAGTTTCTTGGCATTCTGGTGGGGGATGTCCTAATTCATAGGTGTGTTCTAGGGCAGTTTCGAAATACTGCTCTTCGAGAGCGTTTTTTTCGCACGATCGGGTTAGATGGTAGACTCTCGACTCACCAACCTAACTAATTGGTTTGCTTCCCAACTAAACTTAAATGGTGTAGTTTTAGTTTTCAGGTAGAAAAGGATAAAAAATAAACATGGATAATTTAATAATAATAATAATAATAATAATAATAATAATATTAATAATAATAATAATAATATATTTAGAAATAATAAAATATGATTTAGGGGTGGGAGGAAGTTGCGAGGTTCCTTCTTACGGTGATGTTTGCTTTGCCTTTGCCTTTTCCTTTTCCTTTTCCTTATTCGTTTATTCTTAATTGGGTGGACTTCGCCTTTTCAAAGTCATCAAAGACTACACTTTTTAATTACCTTCCTTTCTAACTATCTTTCAAACCCTAGTTTCATTCTTAACTCTTCCGTAAACCGACCGTTACTATCTATTTAAACTCTACAATTTTAAAATGACATGTGACTTATAAATAAACATCTCTTTTCGGTAGTTCAATTATCGGAACTCCAAAATTAGACGTGCTTCCATTGGAGTAATTATATGACGGGCAACTTCCTAAAATGCATGTGAGTTAGGATGAAACATACTCACGTTGGTTTGCGTAAGTATTATGACTATATTGTAAGGGATGCAGGGGAATGTTGGGCATACCGGTGTCATACCTAAACTTTGAATACTTATCTAAATCCTTCAAATCGGGCTTCATATGAGACTTTAGTTTTTGAAGTTTGAATAAAATTTGAGCGACCCAACTACTACGACTTTTGAAAGAGTCGTTATGGAATGATTTGTTTAACTCGATGCTAAATATTATATTAAAATAATTTTTATTCTTATAACAACGTTAACAAGTGTTTTGCATATGTGACCCTAGACAGATCTCTCTTACATTCCTCATTTATTTCTAATTTATTAAGCTTTAATTAAATATTAATTATTAAATTATGTTGTTTTATTAATTATTATATTAATGAGCCTAATTTAAAACTATCATATACCAAGGTGGATGGTCGTTGTTCCTAACATACATAATTTTTCTCTCCTTCCAACAATCCGAAACCGTGTATAATCGAAATATTAGTTTATTTTCCTCTAAAAAAAAGGAGGCAGCATTGAGACGCTAGGACTAACACCTCAATATGCTACCCTAAACCGTGTGAAAGAAATAAGAAAAATTGATGAAGCATCACGACTATCTATAACTTTGAAATCATAGCATCAAGTGAAGCATATGATGTTATATGTTTGTAGCGTCGAGATGCTCTAATAACAACATCGAGAAGCTATCTTAGGACTTATCAGTATCGTCCTCTCAATTTACGCATATATTAACTCATTACCTAAAAGACCAGTGGAAATCAAGTTTTCACTTTAATAGTTCTAAATATGAACACGACTCTCCATTTTCATCATCCAACACCTCTTCACCAACAAAGTACGTCTCCCCTTAATCCATACACGACTCCTTCTTTTTATTTAGGCATAATGCCCTAAAAATTCTCTCATTTTGACAAAAAAAAAAACAAAAAAAAGGGCATAATGCCCTAAAAAAAGTTGGTCAGCTGAGTAAGTGGGAGGCCAATGATGTGCGCAAAATGCTCTCATTTTGACAACTAAAACCCTTTATTTGGCCTTTTTCTTCCTCTATAAATTCCCTCTTTCTCATTTCCACTCCTCAATTAATTCTTCTTTCAAACTTCAAAAAAATTAAAAAATTAAAAAAATTAAAAAATGGGAAGCTCCACCCTCTTCAAAAGCCTTCCAAAGTTTGGTCATTTTGGGGCAGCAGTCATTGCATGGAGATCACCCACTTCCAACACTTCCCTCCGTTTCGCTTCCAACCCCAAATTTATTCATGTAAGTAATTTGTTCGTACATTGAATCATTGGTAAGGTTCTTACTTCTTTTTGATGTTCGACAACAAGTCAGAGCTTCGAATCTCATATATATTTTTGTGTGTTTTTTTGACAGACAAATCCACCACAAGATGGGTCAGAAGCCAAAGATGCCATAAACCCAGAGGCAAATGAAGGAATGACATCGGGTGAACAAATGATGCAGGACAAGGCTTACTCTACTGCAGAACACGTAATCAAAACTCCCCCAACTTTTTATTTTATTTTTTAAACCAACTGAATCGAAGCTACGAATGAGAGCGATGTTGATGTTGAAGATAGATAAGTAAGGTAAATTTGAGAATGCAGGTGAGTGAGAAGACAAGGGATATGGCAGGGATGCTAAGTGCAAGAGCGCAAGAGGTATCGGCAAAGGCAAAGCAGGCAATGGAAGCAGCAAAGGACTCAGCCCATAGGGCAAAGGACTCAGTGGTTGAGACTACCAAAGACTCCAAGCAATTTGTCAAAGCCAACGCAAAGACCGTTGAGAAGTGCATGAACACCAAGAACCGTTCTTAATTTCCCTTTTTTTCCCTTCTAATAAACCCATATAGACCTATATGGAATTTTTTTCAATCCAAAAAATGGTTTAGAAGTGAGTTATGAGCTAATGTGCTTAATTCTTTGATTTGGACGAGTGATAATTATTTATTATTTTGAGAACTAAATAGAAAGGTAAGAACTAAATAGAGAATTTCTTTCCTAAACAATGTTTTAAGACTGTTAAAGCCTTTGCCTCAAAGCCCGACTTAAATAGTTGGCCTTCAAGCTTACACAAACTGATAGGTCAGGCCTCTTATGGTGCGAATGTTGTTTAGAGACATTTTAACCTAATTACTTACGACGTTCCAACTCAAATCTCTACCAACAATCAAACACGTTTTCTAAACTTCATAAAAATTTAATCTTATAATAGAGATATTCTCATACCAATAAAGATATTCTCTAAATTAGCCATCCCAACACACTCAAGCATATTGTTTACCTTCATCCCTAGTTTGTAACCATTTTTATACCTTTGAAGAATCTCAATTTTCTTGTGTTATAATTAGTCGTTCTATCATCATTATCTAATTATAAAAAAAAGAAAAAAGACATGAATGTAACCGAGCTTGAACTTGATTTTTCATTTTTTCATCTTTATTGAATCTACAAAAAGATTTTTTTGTGTTGTGACTCGAACAGAGAGCCAAGTTTGTACAAACCTCCCCATAAGGGTATCAAACTAGCTCAAATCCAAGCTAGAGAAAAGAGGATGAAGAATAAACGAAGATATATTAGCTCTTATAAATAATATACATATCTTCTATATCCGAACAAGGATGATAAATTTAAAAAAAAAAAAAAACAAAAACTATTTAATTAGGCAAAAAATAACTTAGTATATTATTTTGCAACTATAGGTTACAAGAGAATTGATATTGCACATTACACTAATTCTATTGCATTTCTAATGGAAGATAATATATTCGACAATCTCCTTAATGTCCCATTGGCATTGTGCATTTCTTTTGAGAGTGTCCCAACAAATGGCAACGACCACACTGTACAATCCTCTTTGGGCGCTTCAAGTTTTCAACTCTCGGAACTTTCTTTTTCGGCCTTCCCGGTGGGCGACGAATTTTGGGAGGGCGTATTGTGATATCAGCCTTCGCACCTCCTTCTCCTTCGTCCGATTCCTTCCACAGGCTCTTGTCGAGGATCGGGTATATCATTTTCGAATACGTTTCACGGTAACTAGCGACGGTGAAACATGGCTCAGCAAATAGATGAGCATTCTGCCCACATGACATTAGAGCAGCTGCAGCATGAGCACAAGGCAGACCATACAATTGCCAACAACGACAGGAGCACACACGACTATGTATCTCCACGATATTTGTCCGCTCAGTTGAGACGATTTCAAATTCAACTTCATTTGCACGAAGTACTTGATAACAACGAGCATCTGCAATTGCTTCGGCGATCCGCTTCTCGGCAGAGGGTACGAGAATGGAGGTCCATCTCATTCCTATTTCACGCCGCTCGTTAAACCAAGATGCCATTTCGTTACGAATATGTTCCATCATCTGCACGATGGGGAGCTCGTGACACTCGAGTGCCCAATTATACAACAACTCTGTAACCCCTAATGTAAAATGGCCATACCGCACACCTTCAAAATATGCTACAGCCCACAGTTGGGGAGGGAAGTGTTGAAACCATGTTATTACTTCTTGTGAGATCTCCACCATCTCAGCAATTTTGCTGTCGAATTCAGCTGCAGTGAGAGCATAAACAGCATTCCAAAAAATATTGACCAACTTCGTGTTTTTAAACGTATCGCGAAAATTTTCACTTACATAACGTAGACAGAATCCATGAAAGGCACTCGGAAAATGTGTTTCGACCGCCTCAACCATTCCTCTTTGTCTTTCGGATAGTATTGTCAATCTAGGCATACTATCAGTATTTACCCCAAGAAGCTTTCGCAATTCGGATATGAACCACATCCAATTTTCATCACTCTCCACATCAACAACTGCAATAGCTAATGGGAACAACGAATCATCTGCATCAACAACCGCAGCACACAGTACGGCTCCTAAGTATTTTCCTTTAAGATGTACTTTGTCAAGTTCAAGAAGCGGTCTACAGGCATTTATAAACCCATATATCGAAGCACGATATGAAACAAACAGTCGCTGGAAGCAATTTTCTTGTCCAGTTGCAAAAACTGAAGCAAAACTTCCAGGGTTTGTTTTCCTTATTTGTTCACAATAAGCAGGAAGAAGGCGATACCCATCTTCAAAAGTTCCATGAAGTGCAGCCATGCTACGTTCTTTCCCACGCCAAGCTTGCATGTAGGATACAGCAACTCCGTGCTGATCGCGGATATCCCGGAGAATTTCCTTAGGTTTATACTGTGGATTATCTCGTACTTGTGCTGCCACAGATCTGGCAACCCATCCCACAGAGGCTTGCTGATGATGAAGATTACGAACACCTTCACAAGTATGCTCGCCATGTAGGGTTCTAACTGTAAAGGTTGGAACTCCCGGGCATTTTGCTACATGCACGCGCCAAGGGCAACCTTCCTTGGAGCATTTGGCTATAAACCGACTACGATCAGATTTAACGATTCGAATATCAAAATGCATAGCTATAGCAATATCTTTCAACATTCTCCGGCAAGTTTCAACATCAGGAAATTCTTGTCCAATAACCAGGGTGTGATCTACCAGACTAAGTTCAGCATCAGATACAATTAAAGAATGATCAGCCTCAGATACAATTAAAGAATGATCGGCCATTAATTCATCAGAGTAAGAAGGCACCAGCATCACAGGATTCTGCAAATTTGCTTCATGTTGAGCTAAAGAACTAGTATTACACACTACTATACCACACTGCCACCAAAAAGGAGAAAGAAAGAAAGTCATGTTAGAAGGGAATATACCCCACTATATACAACTGAGTTGCATTTTTTTAGAAAAAAAAAAATATATAATTTAAAAAAAAAAAAAAATAGGAAGTACTAAACAATACAACATTGCAATTTACAATCAATTACAGCATTCAATAGAAAACCGGTTAATTTTTTAAAGATAAATAAGATAACCATTATTGTCAATCATTGTCGCCGTCAACCGTCATTGTGGGTTCTTAGACGTTTTTGGGATTTCGTTTCTCCTACCCGTCTACTCCATTCATCGCCAATCATTCTTCTTCGCTGTTCTTCTCCATCACCAAATTCTTTTTCTCCTTCAGTTTAGAGTGTTGGTTTGCTCCTTTGGTTGGGTTCTCCATACCTTTAAGAAAGTGTGGTTTGGTTTGGTTTTGTGAGATTCTTTTCTTTCCTGGTTGTTTATCAAAGTCACTTTGTCAAGGAGCATAGTGGTTGTTGTATTGACAATAAGTATTTTTGTATTTGGTTTGGAGATGAGCGTTTCTTCGTTGAAGATTTGAATCTTAACATTATTTATTACATTTTCCTATCATTGGTTTGCCGCAAAGTTGTTTCTTTCTCAAGGTTTTTCGATCAATGGTTTTGTGCCCGTTGAAGTGTTTTTTTGGTTGTCTCGCTGCTTCAGACTCTTTGTTTGCCTCCTGATTGTTTTCGATGTTAGTTTGCCTTCAGGATAATCTTGTCTAGTTTCTTACTGCCACCTTGAAGATTGGTTGTGGTTGCCTTTTATTTTTGGTTCTCACACGAGTTTTGTTTGGTTGTTTCTCCTAACTTATTTTTTTACAGCAAAGTTTCACAAATATATTTGACAAATATATTTGAGGACGAATCCTCCTGAAGAAGTGGAGAATGATATGAATCAAGACATCCTAATCATGCAATATGAATCCTAATGATGCCATATGAATTTCAAAGAAGATGTAGAAAAATGTTGTTCAAATTAACACAAAATAAACTCAATTTGCAATTAATGCCACATTAAAGAAAAATCAAACTTCATTTATACAACAATAGATTCAAGCTACGTCAAGAGAGACTTCATTTATTCTTAAACGGTTACAAATTCTTGGGTAGATGATAATCTAGATTTAGAGTGTTTCATAATTATATTTTAAGTTTTAAGACTTTTTATTTACTTTTAGCATTTGTGATCGGTGGGTTTGTATATCCATGAGGGTTTTTAGATCCAATTGGCTAGAGTTTTCATATCATATGTTATGGGTGTTGTATTGAGAAGCCTGGGGTTCAGAAGTTTGCATTTGGGGTGCAATGTTCTAAACTCCAAGGTTGGACTGTCCATTCCCCTTTTTCTCTTATTTTGTAGTGGATATTTTGTGAATGGTAGAACCTCTTGTGTAACATGGGTCAATTTTTTGAGACTTGAATTAAATATTTAATTTATGTTATAGTCTAAGAATACAAAATTTGCTTCCAACAATCAAAACATTGTTTATTAAGAAAAAGAAAACATAACATGGCAATGCTTACGATCGAGATCGAACATAAAGATATGAAGTTTAGAAGTAAGATACAAAAGTAGTAAAGAAATATAACATAGTAATCAATGCCCACCTAAAGTTGTCATAAAAAAGGTTGAACAACATTCAGTGAAGCAATTCATAAATAGGAAGGTCAATCCTAATATAGACAAAATATTGAGTTGCTTATAATTGTTGATTCAAATATATAAATTCGAAAAAAATTAATTGTAATGAAAAACATTGTTATATTTTATGTTTTTCTTTCTTCTCCCATCCAACCATCATCCATCATCACCATGTTTTTTCTTTTTCCCTCTCTTTTCTTTTCTTTTTCTTCTTCTTTCCTTTCCTTCCCTTCTTCTACTCTTTACAATCCACCTCCTTTCCATCCTTCTCCCTCAAATTTTGAAATATATACATAGAAATTTCCAGTCGATTACCTAAAATCAAAGGTTAGGTTTAAGAGGGGCTTTTTTTTTCTCTCTTATCTCTCTCCCTTGAAGGTTAGGTTTAAAAGGGGCTTTTGTTTCTCTTATCTTTCTTCCTTCCTTTTCAAAAAACTTCATTTTTTATTTGAAAATTTGGAGAAGAAGGGGAGAAAGCCAGAGGAAGAATAAAGGAAAAAGAAAATTGTATTGGTGGTCGATGGTGAGTGACAATGGCAATGGTTGTTGCGGCAGCAGTTGCCATTGATAACCCGGAGTTGTGTCTGTAACCTCATGGTTTTGCCACTGTTGCAACCCATGAGATTGTGTGTGCATATTGATTACATTGAGTCAAATGTGGTTTAGAGATCCAGGGGCCAAACAACCCATAAAAGGAAAATAGTGCACAAGGTCTGAAGGACCTTATTATGGAACATGTGCCTGAGTCTACCATTGATAGAACCCAAATGGTAGGCTTAGGTTAGCGCTTGGTTTGTATAACCCTAGTGTCTTTCTTCCAAACAATGGCTCAACGAGGTCACCAGACCAAGGAGCTCAAGGTGATGCAGTGGAAACTCAAAAAGGAATGGATCCCCCAGCTCCTCCTGCTCCTACTGTAGAGCACTAAACAACGCTCACACCAAAGGCCCTTCAAGTCCTTTTCAATAACATGACAAAAAGAGGCAATAGGCAGCTTTGCAACCCCAACCAGATTCCTGCACTCCACGATGAAGCTGAAGCTCCTCATCAGACTTCAAAAAATACAGGCCCTCCCACTTTGACGGTCAACCAGAACAGGCGACAGTGGAAAAATAGTGGATGTAGACTGGAAGCAATGTTCGATTACTTGAACCGTGAGGATTGGTTGATGCTTATAGGGCCAATGTTTATGCCCCAAGATGAAGCGCACATGAGTTCAAAATCTGTAAAGGCATCAGAAGTTCACGCCAACGAACCCATTATGTGGACGAAATTCAAGGACTTACTGCAGAAGTACTATTGTTTAGAGACGGTGATAGATGACAGGGAGACCATATTTTTGCATCTTAAGAAGCATTAGCCTTTGCTCCAGCACTTAGGGGGTCCTCTGATCATGGACAAGAATATTAGCAGAAAAGAGAAGCCCAGGTTTGAGGTTGGTTCCACGTATGGCATTATGAGGAGGTTCCTCCCATCATATACAACCTATCCCAGCAAGGCCCCTTAGCAGCAATTTTAGGGGAGGTTTCTACCCCCCATGCCCCTCAATCTTGGACAGGAAGGAAGGCCTGTTTTAGATGAGACAAAAAGTGCCACTTTGATAGGGAATGCCCCAACCTTGATTGGCTTGGCTTTGGCTGTCAACAGGCGGTGTTGGGGGGGAGAGTAAGAGCCACTGAAGATGGTAAAGAAAAGCAGCACACAGCCCCTCGAGGTGGAGTGCTTGGTTCTGTTGGCAACTAAAGTTTGGACAGATATATTATATAGGAGTTAAAATAGCGGACTTCTTTTTCTTGCAGGGGAAAAACATACCTAGATGATGGCAAAGAATATGGATGATTAGATAAAACTGGGTCAGTAGTATGGGAACAAGATCAGTAAGGGTGGCTGCCATTAGCCATGCTTCAAGTTGAGAAGGATAGTGTGGTGGGTGTCTAAAAAGATAAAGGAAAAGCTCAGTTCAACAACTAGCATAGGGCTGGCCCAACTCTACAGGAAAAATGTGGCTTAACAAGATACATGGAAACAATCGTTGATAAGTCATCATCCAAAGGATAGATATTTGTGGTTGGTTAAAGGGATTGGATCAATTGGTAAAGACTATTGCACAAAAGCCTATACTTGCTTCCTCCTTTCCAGCTCAAAAGCCATGATTGCTATTGAGAAAAAGGCCCCATGAATACGATCTATTCTTCCCATGTAATAAGCCAAGTTGAAAAAATGGTTAAGTTGAACAGTGATTAGAAGACAGAAGGTTATTTGCAAGGCTGAAGCAAAAGAAATTAAATTTAATTTTTATGCAAATTTTTATGAGGTCAAGCCCTCTACAAGATTATTTTAGCACGTCAAAAGAAAACAGCCAAAAACCTATAAAATGAATGTTAGCGTGTCACGACTCAATCTATTAAGAGGGAGGTATCTAACTTTAACCCAACCCCTATCCGAGGGACCACTTTGTTTACTAAGAAGCCTTTCTCACTCCATTGCACAAATTCAGCGACATGGACCAACATTCTGCCAACCAACTTGATGATAGAAGACTTTAGCTTGGTCAATATCCACACATCTCAATATAACTTTGTTTTGCAAGGGATTAAGTGAATGATACTTGTTCCCATGCATTCACGGGCTTCTAAAGTTTTGTACCAAGCTTTCCTCCAAATGGAGATTATTTTGTGTTACTCCCTTGGATTGGGGCTTTCCTCCCTCTTTTGTAGTTCCATACATCAATTACTGCTATATCTGCAGATCCTCATACCATAATACCACTATTTGTTTGGCCAACCTTTCGCAAGACAAGTTTGTAGGGAGTATGAGATCTATGAGATGCTTAAGGCTTCTTTAAAAAGCCTATTCTTCTGTATCTTTTAAATTAGGGTTTCTTTTTAATCAATGTTAATTGTAGAAAAATTTGAAATCCCTATGACTATCTTTTTAGGTTCATACCTCTTCTCCCTTTTTTTTTTCATGTTATTCCATTTTCTTTAAATTGTGTGGTACCGTTTCCTATCAAAAAGAAACAAATAGGCAGGAAAACCAAGGATAAAATTGTCTTAAAAGCCTTCAATGAGTTCAAAAAGTATGATGACAAAATTTTCTAATCTAAGTTCATTAAAAATTGGGACACCCAAGTAACAAACTGAGGATTAAAAATTTAACTAGCTATTCTTAGAATTATAGCCAACCTATCAGTCTTGGTTCTAAAGCTCCCCCTCCTTCAGGACCTAATTAATTGCTCCGTTCATTATTACAGCAAGAATTTTCAGCATCAGTAACGAATGTCAGCCCCTCAGTTTTCTACTACAAATATTATTGCCCAACCATGAACATTTCACAAGAACTCAACAACTATATGTTGGTTTTCTTTCTTTTTTTTGTTATTTCTTTGCGGAGAAGAAGAAGATGTACATAAAGTTCAAGGAAAAAGGGTTCCAAAAGCTGGGGTCCAGTGGAAAGATGCCACCCCTGCTTCCAGAGAAGGGATAGGGATTATAGGAAAGCCCTCTGCTTAGAATTAATAAGGAAAGTAGAAAGATCATATAAAAAAGGACTAAAAAAGAACTATTTCAACTTCTGTTTGTAGCATTAAGATGAAAATTTGAGAAATTTTATCAACTGCCAGCCTATATGAGAAAGAACAACCCTCGTTTAAGAAGAATACATGAATTACTAAATAATGATGCAAAGATTCTTGATTAAAGAGTCCAAAGGGATATTCAAAATAGTCTAGATTACTTTTTCAGCTGTTGAAGTAAACAGAACTTACCAAAAGCTAAGCAGTTGATTTACACGCAGAATTCAAGACCGTCTAAGAAACGCGACTGTAGTTCAATTTCTTCTAATGTCGGAATGCCTTTTTTAGGACAAGAACGCTACAAAATAAATAAACAATTAGTTTAGAGCAGAATGAACAGTGGAAAGCGAAAATAATCGCGCAAAACAACAACAAATAAAAAATCGTGCCCTAAATACAGGGATCGGGCAAAGAATTTGGTTACCTGAGAAAGAGATTACAGATGATAAGGAAGAAAAAGGAGAATTGAAGCAGTAATTAATGTCGGTTGATAAAAAACAAAAGATTAGAGAGAAAAAGAGGGATACCTGGGAAGGAGGAGGAGAAGAAGCAGCAAGGCATCGACGACGGTGGTGGCAGTGGCAGTGGTCGGTGGCGGTGAGAAGAGAGGAGTACTGGAGGAGGGGGCGTAGCGGGAGAGTACAGTCGGAAGAAGGTTATGGTGTGAATTAGTTAGGAATTTGGGGGCATATGCGTGATTTTGTATATAACAAGGTCAAGGGAAATGTGACGTCTACATCTAAACTTTATTTATTTTTTATTTTTTTCTCACTAAAATTTGAATTAATTTTCTTATAATACAAATATATTTATTTTAATTTTATTTAAATTTCTAATTATTTTTGTTTATTTGTCCTCCCACTCTTCTTAAAAATAATAAACAAAATGTTTTTTTTTTTTCAAAATATAGATTGTTGCAACCCTCACTTTAATGTTTAAAAATAAATAAATATATAGGTGGGATCAAAAGTGCAACCAATATAGGTGGGATAAAAAATACATTGAGATGTAAAGTCTAATTTTGATTAATGTTCAAACGTTTAAATAGAATACAAGCTACAACTCATATATATGAAAATAAGGAAAGTATAAACTAATTAAATCTTGAGAATAAAATAAAATATACTACTAATTAAATCATAAAAGAAAAAATATTAACGGATTACGAATGATATATTACATAACTAATTATTATAATATATTCTAATATTCCCCCTCAAATTGGAGTCTGTAAGTCAATAACATACGAGCATAGGTCAATAACACCCAACTTGCCTTTACGAGTGTAGGTCAATAATACCCCGCTTGTCTTCCAGAAAATAGAGAGTGTTGGTCAATAGCACTCACTTGTCTTTTAGAAGAGAGTGTAGGTCAATAACACTCTTTGTCTCTCTAATAGTGAAAATATCTACCAAATTAGCTCTAAACAAATATTTGTTGATGATAGACACATTGGTTTTCTTTTTAGACTTTCAAAAAAAAATTATTGAATTTCCAAGAAAGATGCAAAACCAAAAAATTGACGTCTTTGATTGGTTTGCTTTTTAGACTTCTTAATAAATTATTGAATTTCCCAAAAATATGTAAAACTCAGAAATATACCGCTTTTGATGTATCTCATAACTTGAAGAGCTTTCTATTGATTTATGCATAAATGATTTACTCGAGGGTTGGTAATCTGTCCCATTTAATTTTATTGGAACAAAAGGAATACCTTAGTTAATCAAGAGTGATGAATATAATAATGATGTATTAAATAAAAATGTGAAGTTTTAAAGTTGGATAATAACACCAAGATTGGTGCTCTGGATCACTTGAGAGGTTGTAAGGAAAAATACGAACATCTTGAATATGCCACCTTTGAGCTTGGTGAGAAATTTGAAGATGCTTATAACGTATTCTTGATATTGGATGATTGAGAACAGTTGGCCAACCACAGTTCTCGATCTAGTAGAGGTCTAGTAGAATCATTGAGAATATATGTAGCCAATTCAATATCCAGATTAATATTAAGAGGCTACCGGTTGATGACAGAATCTAGATAGCTCGCCACAAACATCTTGATAATGAATATGTTCTTGATTTTATTGTTGAGATGAAAAAATATTGATGATTTGAGGTGCTCAATCAAAGACAATCGCTATACAAACCAGAAATTAACACTTTTGAGATGTGGAGTTAAAAGGATGATATATATCTCAATTCACCGGTCGTCCTCCGTTCTTATTTCAGTCACTTTTCTTCAGTTGTTCCTCTTCTCCTACTCTAAAATTTTTAGTTCTTCTAATATGATGAACTAGTGGGTCTTAGTTTAGATAGAAATTGAGTCTAAAACAAAGTCACGATGGAAAAATCCTTTCTTAAATACAGTTGGTTTGTGAAATAGTGGGTTTGGATTTTGGAAAGTGATGGCATTGTGGGAATGGTAGGTTTGCCGAATGGGTATATATCAAAGTTATTGAATTTGAAAAACAAGTGGGATACCAATAGAAGCTAGTGGGACTATTGTGATAGTAGTCGTAATGCTAGGCTCACAGACTTGCAACTTGTGGTGATGTATGGACTAGTCGGGGGACTGTAGTTTGTAACTTGAGGACTAGTAGTGGTTGCTTAAGGTTCAAAAGCATTGGCGATGGTTTGGCAGGAAGTTGTGGTTGTTGTGATATTCGATTGAACTTATCACAATGGATGATCGGCAACTGTAAAGGCTTCACTGATTGAGTTAGGGTTTGACTTTAGGCTCTAATGGATGATCGACTGTTGTCAAGGTTTCACTGATTGAGTTAGGGTTTAGGTTTAGAGACTCTGATACCATATTAAGAATGATGCTCTGATATCATGTTAAGAATGATGCTATGATATATGTTAAGAATGAAAAATAGAATTGGGATTGAGAGTGCAACAAACCTGGGTAAGATCAAAAGTCCAATGGATGTAAAGATATAAACTGACCAAATTTGAGAATAAAATAAAATATACTATTAATCAAATTATAAAGAAAAAAAATATTAACTCATTACGAATATATAAGATATATTTCATAACTAATTATTATAATATATTCTAATATAACCTCCCTATTTTTATTAAAAATAAACTTAAATTTTAAATAGAAGAAAAAAAATATTAACTCACGTCTAATATATATATATTTTTATTCATCTAATATATTTTTTATTAGTTCGAGTTGAATTCACCATTTAAAAATAGAGGTTTGATTCCAAAATTTATTATTTAAAGAAAATATTAAAAAATATTTAGCAAAAAAATATAATAATTATTTAACATTTCACCCAAACTCAACTAACATAATTTCTAAAAATTAAAAATCTTATTCCTATAATAATAATAACAATAAAAAATTCAATAATTGTGTAGGACGAAAATAGGGAATATATCAGCTTCGTGATATGGTAACTCATTTGAATATACAAACTCCTAGATCAAAAATGCTTAAACCCCAAATCAATATGTTTCATCCCAAATGACTGTAAACCTTCGGGAATTTGATATAACAACTATATTGAAAAACAAGACCTTTAAATTTTAAATATCAAAAAACCTAAATACCATAAAAAATCATACAAAGAAAAAATAAGATTTGGATTATTTTGTTGATAGAATATCTTAAGATAATAGTTCTTGAATAATTCAAAGCATGCAACTTAAATGTAACAGTCAAGTCAAGTTCCAACGAGAATTAAATTTTCTCGATTTTTCCTTAAAAGACAAATTTTGGGATTTTATTAAGGACCTTAAAGGTCGAATCTGAGGAACTGGTAGAAGAGAAAAATGCTCGAAGCAATCCCGAAAACCAAGAAATAAAATAAAATAGTGAAAAAAGCGGAGAGCGAAGGGGTTAGGGTTTGAGAGGAAGAACGAAGAGCAAAGATTCTTTCAATCCAGCATTTGGAGCTCGAAATCGCACAAAAAGTCTTCATAGGAAGTGATCATTGAATCAAGGAGCAGAGGTTTAGGCGTTTGGACCGTTCGATTACGTTAAGATCCGAGAAAGAACGAAGGTGAGTTCTATGGGTTTTTAGGTCTCAATTTTTCTCATGATCCGTGAGCATTTGAAGGAATTAGCTTACGTGATTTTAGTATGTTAATCTTAGTGTGTTTTTCACACATTTTTTGTGAAGGGATCCAAAGTCGCATCACATTAGGAGTTTTGAGAAGACTCCAAGAATGGTAAGAACTTGAACTCCAAAATTTGAGCGCGATTATGTTAGTCTATGGATATTTAAAAATTATACGAAAAATACTATAACGTAGAGGGATGGAAACTCTAAAACTTTGATGAAGGAATTTTATCGATATGAGATATGTGCAAGAAGATAAAAAAAAAAAAAATTCAAAGAAAATGAAACATAATAGATTTAATCGTCAGATTCTGGAATTTACGCATGTAGACGACTTCCGGTGGGACACGCGTCGATAGATCGGCGGGAGAGTGCGTCTAGAGAGCCTTGGACACGTGTCCGGCTTCCAACTAAAGCTACGCAACTGAATTCTAATGGAACATTGTAATCTTGAATAGTATGTAGTTGACATACAAGAGGATTATGTTCAAATAATAACTTAAATGGTCTATATTATATGGATATGGTTAGGTGTATTATCCTAGTAACACTATTGATACAACCCACTTTATAATTATTACAAATGATTTGATCCAAATAGTTGATATGTGAGTGGGGTATCTTATACAATGAGAAGACTAGATCAAAAAATATTTAACCTCTATTTATAAATCCATTAATTGAGAAGATAATATTTCACATGATGATGATATGCAACCTTATTTTAATCCTAAGTGAGTTATGAACTACTGCTTGCAAGAGTTTGTCTTTGATTTAGATGGGTGAAAATGGTTATGGTAGCTGATTCAATATCTACCATTTTTGGGATTTGACCAAATAGAGAGTTGAGAACATAATATCACCAAATGGAATTCACTCTTTTGTAGATTAAAAAAAAAAAAAATGGATGAGTTGTTATCAAGTGGTGAGTGATGGACTTGAACAATGGACCCCACCTCTCATTCACCGAAGAATTGACTTGATTTGTGATTTGTTTATTATAGAATCAGTGATACCTAAGATGAAAGATATAATTACAAGGGTAAACGGATTATTGATTCAGCTGTAATTATGAACCATTTGGATTAACTTATTTGTAATGATTATATTAATGAACCTAATTTGTTCTATAATGCGTAAGAGTACAAATCTAAGTGTACAGAGGAGCCACTCATAGTTAATAAATGAAAATTGATTAAGGGAAGAGGGTAATTAATTAATATTATATTATTGAAACTGAGCAAGAGAGTAACATTGAACTTGGGAAGAAAATTGGAAAGAAAATTTTGAAGGGAACTCTTAAATATTTAATTTAAAATGTTGAAATTAATATTTAATATATAAATATATTAAAAGAGATTTTTTTTTATTTAATACATTAAATATTAAAATAATTAATAAATATTAGATACATTGAAATTTAAATTTAAATGGGATTGAAATTAGTTAAATATATATGGAGACTCGTAACCATTTGAATAAGATATTTTATTGTATATTAGATAAACAAATATATTATTTATTAAAAATTATCTTATATTATTTAAATATATTATTTATTAACAATTATCTAATAGCCC